GCATAATTTTTTTTTTGTTTTCAAAAATGAGTTTTCGAAAATACGAAAGAGAACGCGTTTTCGTTGTTTTGAGAAATCGAAAACAGAAAACGACTTGAAAACAGCAAAGAGAACAGGGCCCTAATTTTGACATCACCACTTGTTGGCTAGTAGAGTCGTCAGTTTCGTGGATCCCAATGTCTAAACATTGGCGGAGCTCCTACCTTTATTTTTGCTTCCTATAAAATGATATTTTGAAAAAGTTATTTTAAATCAATTTATTCTAAAAGTTCTTAAAAAATTATTCAAATACGTTCAAAAGTAATTTTTATTTTGAGAAATAACTTACAAACGGACTATTAAACTTGTACAAGTTTTTCATTTTGTAGCGTTTGAAAGAAAAGCTAAAATTTTCGATTACCTTTAATTAGGCATGTGTCCAATTATTATTGTGTTTTTAATCTTCGTAAAATTGCCTTTGGTCCATTTGCTACATGGTCATTTTACATCGTTGGTTAGATAAGAACATCTCTATGTTTTTAGCGTTGGTTTGATAAAGATTTTTTATAGATTGATTCTTGAAAAAGAGATTATTAGAAGTTAAGAGGATATGGCTTAAGTTATCGAATTTGGAGACAAATACTAATGTAAAATAAGGTTCTCACTCGACTAAAAATTGAGTGCGCGGAATTTATTTTTGCAATTTGACACAATTTCAATTTCGAAATAAGCTCAAAACACTAACTGCATCAAATTAAGTTTTATCCGACGATAAAAACAACTCAGACTCTAAATAAATCATAGTCAACATTGGGTTTTAGTTATGCATGACGACAAAGTGCAGCATTACCAAGTCCGAAAGTAACACTAGAAACCAGTCGATAATGACCAAACAAGTAGTTTTCTATTGTTCACATTAGATTTAGGCCTTTCCCAAGATTGAAACTGATGCACAGCCAAGTCCTTTAAGGTACATTCAAGTTGCACTATGCTATCATCTCCAAGAGAAGTAACTACAACGCATACTTTTTCACATATCATCGTGTATTCAAGTGCCAACATCTCCAGTCCCGCCTCCAACATCAAAGTACATGGATCCTGCATCGCGACCACTAACACCTTCTACAAGAGCAAATTGCATGTCCTCAGATGGTCTCCAGTGTCGCTTCCTTTGGTTTATGAACCAATTGCTGATCTGCTTCTGGTCTAACTGAGTAATCTGTGATAGCCTATTTTTCTCCTCTTCCTGTAGAGTACAGAAGATAACATAGAAATTGTACGAAATTGCTAGAAGCCGGGAGTTCACATGCATTTAATGATATAAACTTGAAGAAGTTCAAAGTATCTTCCGTTTTAAGTCCGGTATTATTCCCAATAGTAAAGAAAAAAAGGTCTCTACTCACAACTGATACTTCAAAACAGATTTTTTTCATTTTGATTTCAATATTCTTGCAACATTTTTGCAATAGAACTCGTAACTGAATCCCATTAGGCGGACAAGCAACAAGAATTAATTTACTTATTCCCCGAACAATACTATAAGAATAAGCACTATTGGTGCCTTTCATTCAAAAAGTGAAATATTATCTACACATCTTGAACTTCAGGGGTTGTATAATGTTGCTAAAAGTTGATAAAAGCACGTGGGTCCCATGAAATGTGGTGAAGAAGTGGATAGAAGTTGCGGGTCCAACGAAATGTGTTAAAAATGTAGTTCAAAAGATTTACCAAACAAGCAGTTCATTCCTAAAAATTACTTGAATGCTAAATTATTTAGTCCACAGCCGTTGTCCGTGGTGGTTAATTCTTTTCACTCTGCCAGTTAATGAACACCACACTCCATTGTGAAACCTATTATGTTGAGTGCATGATCGACGTGGATAATATACAGGGTTTTTCTAGTACACATTATGGGCAAGTAGTGCACAGCATTCCAAATGTGGCAAAAATGAGATGAATTTGATATTACCGTGGGATATGGCCACCGGTAGTGTGTGTTCCACCAGTCGAGCAATACATTCCTTGTATCCTTTGGCAATTTTCCTTTCTTCCTTTTCTTCGAGAATTCCTGTCTCAAATTGCTAAGATAGCCACTGTACTTGCGCATTAGCATTTCTTTGAGCTCCTGTACACCTTGACGGGTATCAGTTGGCACTTGACTTTCAAATGCTTCAAATCCTCCATGGCTCATATCCCCATCCGAAGCACCACCTGCATCATCTGATAAACAAGGATTGTTAGTAAATGAGAATACGCAAAAATCACATTTATTACCAATCAAGTGTGTATTGCAAGTAAAGAAATGTATAACATTCTAAATATGTCCCAATAGTAAGTTCACCAATCTCCAATTTCGACAAATATTGTCTGAATTGATGCATATACCGAATTTCTCATGCACATGCTAAATGACTTGGACGACATGCAAAGATGAATAGTTCAAATCCAAGTTCGTTGACTCTTAAAGAATCCCGAGCCCTCCTTTGCCATGCTCCATCTACTCCAAATATGATAGAGCTTCCTCCTCCACACCTTTAATAAATCAATATAGGCGTATATTGTGTCAATTATGCACCGATACAATCACGATTTGTTTGGGGATCATGATTAAGTTGAACCGGGCGCATCCCGTTTATTGCATACCCCCCAAGTCCTAGATTAACTTACACTATTTTGATATAAATATAAACACTTATCCTCTCCATTGGAAAGTTCTAACTAACGGATTTTACTGCATTATATTCTTCAACTTTCATGGAAATCAATTTGCATATTGTGTCGAAACCTTCTTTTTTCATTCCTCTCTTCAAGCACACCTCATCTTTTACCAGCACGTGCAGGCTCGTCTATGCTTAAATATAACTCCAAAACATATGATCTTAGATTCTAGGACAAGATAAATATACCATCTTTCCATCATGAATAACCTCACTATTAAGTTTGTATCCATCCTTTAATTGCAAATGTACCAGTTCATACAACATTGGCTACATGTCTGAGAAGCTCAAGGAATAAGGAATGTCACTAATGATTTGTTGAAACTTACTTATTTACTATAATGACATTCCTTATTCCTTCTCCTTCATCCTCTACCTTCACTCTGTAAAATGATCATTTCGAAACTTACTTATTTACCGTAACTACAATTTTAAACATCCAAGTATGCTCTTCATAGCTTTAGGTCTCTGCATGAAGCTTAGATGTATCATCAACAATACCTAGTTCGATCATAAATTCTCTACACGATAAACAAAAAAAAAAGTCTAATTTGAGAGAATCAGCGTCGGCTTTTGTCTAGAGACGTAGTCAACTATGGAAAAACTAGTCCATTTGAAGAATTGAGTCCACAGCCTATAATTCTCTTATATTTGTGAAAGACTTCCTGTTGTCAACATGCTTGAGTAACATATTAGTGGAAGTTTCAAAGCCAACTCTATAAAATGTTTAGTACATTAAACTTCTGCTGGATTTTACATGTTAACATCTTTATTTCCTTTGCTTGGTAACATACTCCCCCACATATATCTAGTGCTTCATTCTATGCATAAAACCAGTTACTTCCTAGATAATCTTCATGCTGCAATTTTTAGAAGAAAATAGAATCAAGACATCTGTTAGAGGCCAATTCACCTTGTCTCACTAGTCAATGATTGTTTTTTTCCACAACTAAGGTCAAGGATTCAAGGATTGGTACCTCCATCCCCCCTCAAATAAAAAAATCCGTTAAGGGGTTTGATTTTTGGAGTTGAGGGATTAAATTGATAGAAAATTGAAAAGGAA